TATCAAGAAATCGTTTAATTAAAATATTCCTATAGGTTGTAACGGCAAACAGTTATCCAACGTACTATAGTATATATTATACTATGACTTCATAATTTTAGTATAAAACCACATCACAGTGAACTATAATAGTATATTAGTCTGATATGCATTATTTACATGTAACAAAAATATAAGTAAAACGATCGGTTCTCGGCATGTAGTTCGGCGCCTCAGGCACGAGATGGCTCCACCCCTTTCGATAAGTTGACGAAACTGGGTCAAAATCGAACCTTTCGGTCACCAATTGTCCATCATTATATATTATAATACGAATATAAGATGAGTAATATTTGAATAATTGTCGCCACCACTCCACGGTGACTATAACAGTACTAGACCCGTTGAAATAGGATTTTTCTATGCATACAAACGGTCTCGATTGACTTCGAAGTATGTGAAATTAGTATAATTACATTTAAGATATCTCGTACGTACTTAATCCAGTGGCGGTAGATGTCCGTGTTCCAACCGAAACGGTGTAATAACCGTGAAAATGGTCACGTACAACCGTGCGGAAAACTAAATAAGCGTAAAATGTCGACAGCGTGAGGTGCAAAAGCTACATCAAGAGCTCCTGCTGGTGGGCCGTGTTTACTGCGGGTGGTAAGTCGCATCAACGTCGTGTACAAACGCTATCTGTTTGACTCGATCGCATTGTGCCTGTGCTCGTTTTGTCGATCGTATAAAATTTTAAAATATGATTTCGAATTTTGATCTGTAAACCGTAACAATCGATTTCCACTGTCAACCAGTTACGCGTATTTCTATCTAGCGCACTGGGGGTTCTACGTACAATTATTTACATAAATTGTCATACGCTCCGAAAAAGGGGTGAAATAAATATAAACGCGTTTACGTAAGAAACGTATTGTGTTCGTGTGTGGTATGCCATTTATTTAACTTAACAGCAGACATTGTCCAAAATCGTATATACGTTTTTTTTTCATTATATTCGTATTGACGCATCCAAGCTTTTAAACTTTTAATTTTCATGTTTTAAACGTCCATCTCATGTCGATCGACTTGTTTAACACATTTTTTCGCCCGATCGCAATCGTTGTGAATTTATTAAAACGATAAATTATCGAATTTCGTTATATTGAAATTCATATAATTTTGAAAATTATCCATACAAATTTTATTTTTATTCTATGCATTTCAAGCGTGCGCCTTGCGTGTATAAAAATACATTTATTATTTAGAATTAGTCTCTCACTCGCGAATAATCGATTCGTTATTCTCGCGAAAAATGTTGAGAACATAATTAATCTGTCTCCAAAAGAAATTTCCAATGAAAACACGCGAAAAAAAAAATACTTTTAAAACGTGTCTGCTCAAACATACTATAGTTTACAAACACATTTCACTTCGAGTTTCGACAGCCGATTTTATTCACGGCTGCATCTGTAAATCGGCTAACTGCTTACAGTGTAAGTTTGAGACAATACAAATCCCATTCGCGAAATTAATCGAACACGTACGAGCTATCGGTATATGGACTAATGTCTTAAACATACATCCGTTCACACGATGCGAATCGTAGAAAACCAATCTTCTCTTTCCACACTGAGTTCTCACTTATTCTGAAACTTTCTGGACCATATATTAATTAGAATTTTTTGTTTATTAAAATCGAACAAATGTATTTATTTTTCCAACCATCAGATAGTATTGGATTTCATTGAAGTCTTGTTACCAAAAAAAAAAAAAGTTACAAAATACCGGCATAATATAAGCACAAACAAGTACGTAGAGGATGTAATATTTTTAATATTTTTAATTAAAAATAAAACTTTAATTTAACGAAGAGATATATCGTATTGTTTTATTTTACAATAAATAATACATTTCAAACAAAGAAAAATTGAATTATAATTATTGTATTTAATCTGTAAATTAGACTGCACTGAGTAAACATAATATGCCAAATGTCTGATTGTTCAACACTAAAAATTAAAATAAACATTTTAGATTAGAGATTAATCAAAAGATGTCCTAATATTCGACTTAATACTATTTTAGACAATTTTAGAATTATCAACAAATCTGACAAACCTAACAATTGAGCTTTAAAACTTTTGGCTTTAAAACTCTCTTATATTTGTAGTGTAGTGAAAATAAATTTTAATATTTAATTTTTCCTAAAACAATTTCATTAATATCATTCAGCCATTTTATTTATACGGCGGCTAATAGTATTGTTATTAAGTGGTATTTTAGATGTAATATTTTTAGATTCTTTACCCAATATTGTTTTAACTATAACTGTTGAAACCCCTTAGAGCTCCGTTTGTTTTTCCATAAAAAATGTAAAAACGTAACAATTATTGGTCATTATAATTTGTATAAAACAATATTAAAATACCGATAGGAAAATAAAATTTTTTAATTTTGGATAATACGCATCCCCTATTCCAGTTATTTCTCGGCCAGATATATTATATATAAATATAATATTAAATATTTTCTCACCTTAATTAATTCTCTAAATATCCCATCCAATACTCAATCTATTCTTTCCTGCAATTCTCTCAATCTGTTATTTTATCCACACTTAACTTATTCAATCAGGCTAGTTTCATGATTAAAAAAAAAAAAAAACTAATTGTTTTTCTAATTTAGTAGTTATTATATATTTATATGTATATTGTAACTGTCGAAACTAATGGTTCACACCATGTTTCTTAATAACAAAAAAAATTAACTTAATACTAAATATTTCTTGGGGTGCCACGAGAAAATACTGCTTAAAAAAAGGTTTCATGGCTGAAAAGGTTTGGGAATCGCAGAATTATATGTATATAAATATATATCTAATTTTATATTAATTTTTATTGTTATAAATGATCAATTTCATCAAAATTATCTTTAATGCTATCTGTATCGTTAAACGTCCGTCACACATAATAAAAAAAATACAACACCAGTACACCAATATAAAATGTTAGATGAGTATTCATTGTGAAATTACTTTGCCATTGATTAATATTTTTGAAATGAAATTATTTTACAAGTATATACCTAAATATTTTGTATAAGTTTGTTTATCTGTTGTCAATGAATAAGTATAATAAGATGCATGGAAATATAACAAATAATAACTTTCATTTAGTTTTAATTATTCATCGAAATGTAGATACGTCGAAATGATGCAACATTGCCGAAGAACAAAGTCCAATCAATATAAAATGTTTAACAAAGATTTATTGCCTTTATTGGTTGAATTTGTACGTGTTATGTTACATATTTCAATTAAATAATGATATGCATTTTAACTGTAGAATTAAAATGACCTCTAAAGATGTTAGATCTCAAAGGAACTAATGATATATTTATGACGAGAGAATATGATTTATTAATGCGTTCGAGATTATTAACTATAAAAATAATTAAAAGATGTTTGAAAATTAAAATAAAGTAATTAATTGTTAGAATATAAATTGGTTTATGGTTATCTGTGGTAGACAGGATGGTTGAACTATGCAAATTGTATCGAAGAGCAAAGTTCAGTCTCTATAGTGACTATATTATGTTTAATTAAGTTTTATCTGCCATTAATATTAGTTTATTAACGCTCATATAGGGCAATTGAGTTTGCAGCATGGTTTACAAAAATTATAAACATATATAATAGTTATATTATAATTAATGAATAATATGTACCTACAGAAAATATATAATGTAAATTACTTACCACAATTTTGATAATTGAACATTAAATAAATAATATACTGTAATTATCGATATTCATTTATCGAAGTATAATATTATAACGTACATACATATATGTTGGTATTATTATTACGTACATATTCCACTGATGAATATTATTAAACCAAATAAACATAATGTTAAAATTCGAGTGAACGTTCTCGATAGTGTTAACACACATGTAAAATACATTTTAAATACATTTTTAAATGTATTTCAAATCCATTAGCATAATTATAAAGGACTACGGAATAATGTTTAAATAATTTACAAAAATGTTCATAACATAAATTATTTCTACTATTTATCACTGAATGTTAAGTAGCTTCTGTTAATGAGATATAATATTATAACTGAATGAAAATTGAATGTGTTCTTTAATTTAATATATTATTTTTAATTTCAATTTATAGAAAAACTATGTAGCCATAATCATTACAGTCATTAGTATAGCAATTAAAATGTATATAACGGATGAAATGTTTCAAATTCTTTTACTTAAAGTCAATATTTTTTTATGTCGATTTGGTATGAGAACTGCAGTCAACGTATTTTTAAGGTTCACTTAATGTTAAATGAGTAATAATAAGCAATTATTCGTAAACGATCCAATTTGGAAAAAATATCCAATTCTAAACGTTGAAAAAATAATACAAGTCAAATTTCAGTCTCATTAATTATTTAGTCTTGCATAATACCATTATTAAACGACAAAACAAGTATTTGCATGTCTTAAACAAAAAATTATAAACGCAAATCAGTGAATAAAATTGAACATTTTTTAATTTATCTTCCACTCCTTCTTTTGCACTTACGATACGTGAAAATTGCTTGTCATGTGTCACGTTCTTAACAAAAAAGTTTCTACGTGGAACTTTTACAGTGGCTACATCGACCGAAAGTTCTGAGGGAGAACAAATTATGTATCGCTGGAAAATCAATACACGGTCGCAAGTGTGGTTCTTCAAGTGTCATTCGCAGATAACCCCTACTACAACAACGTTTACATTCAGCCCTTGTGGGTCCACTGCGGCTGTATGCTTTTAGCGGTCCGCCTCGTGAAAATCTCATTTAGTAAACAGTAAACACATTCGTACGGGAGGACAAGGATTTTAGACAGATGTTTGGATTAGGTTATCAAAAATGTAGACGTAAAACAAACAGTAAAAATAAAATAACTGAAATACCGCTTTTATTCTACAAAATATACTAAGCACATGAGTTTATGTAATAATTGTACACCTGTGATTATAATTGATATTCATAAAAACATATTACTACATTAAATGTCTTGTCGTTAAAAAGAAGTCCGTAGACAACGATTTATTACGGTTAACGATCGAATGTTATTTGAAAAGATTTCATTAAAATAATTAATTCTATTAGCGTGCGCGAAATGGAATAAAAAAAAAAACGTTACCAACGATGGGTATATGAAATAAAACGTAATTAATCTGATAAGTATCAAGTAGAAATATCGAGATAAAAAAAAAAAAAAAGAAGAAAACCAAATGCGTTCATAGCTACGGTTGAACACGCGTATACGAAACATTATGGACGAGATACGAGCTAACGGAATACGCAGCTGCAACGACGTCGGGCCGTAGGGTGGCAGTTGCCGAGATCGATACGATCTATATGCGCACGTCATGTTATTGTTACGCGGTGCGCGTCGATTTTCAATCCCGAAACGAGAGGGCATTCTGTGTGCGCGTGCGCATAACGGACGGGTTCGAAAACGAAAATCCGTTCGTCCTGATACGCCGTAGTTGAAGTCTTGTGTAACAAAAATGTCGTATCGGAAAAATAATAAATTCGTTTTTGAAACAGCAATGCGGCTAAACGAAAACGGACGATAACGCGCATTTTTTTCTAAAGATTACGTTGAACTACTTACGACTAGACTGAGTTGTCGCGCGCACGCTAAAACTTAACATACGCGTACCGTCTGAATGAAGTTGGAGAGTGATTGATATTAAACAATTAAATTAAAACTAGGTTCGGAAGAGACGCTTTGGATAAAGTGTTCGATTTATTATTTAATTTAATGACGGCAGATAATCTGATTTGAAATACGTGCGTTTCGCGTAGCAAAGAGATTTTCGAAAACGGTAAAAGCGGTAATTGAATTTTTATCACCCCGAAACCATATTGTTCAACTATAGATTAAACGAAAACGATTTAATCCTTCGTGTTACGAGTGCGACAAAAAAAAATTAACGTCCGACCGATTTCCTGTGTGCAAACCGCGTGCAACGATTAAACGTTTGATTTTGATTTATGTCAAATTTTATTATTGGTTAAAACCTAATTGAAAAATTACGCCAAACGCTAACATCTGACGCGTCTCCTCCGGTACATTAATATTATTTGGACGTGTACGATTATTACATAACGCGGTTTTCGGTGGTTTTCGGTGTTATAGGCGCGAGAGCAAATCGGAGTCTATCCCTTCACCTAGTATTTCGTTTATGATGTCCACATCTTTTTCGATACCTCTCGCCTCGTAATCGTCGCATAGGATCCTCCAGAAATCCAACGCATCCGTCAAGTTAATCGAAAAGTTTTCCACCTCTTGTTCGCTCAGGTCCCCGTGATATCTGAGCCACACCGTTTGGCTGAGGAAATCGAACTTCTCGAAAATTTTTCCAATCAACAGCCAGGTCCACGGACCCGGGTCTTGGATAGAATTCAAAATGTCCACGGGCTCTTCGAGTTCCCGTATTATGCGCCGCATGCAATCGATCGACGGACGATAGGCGTCGAGTGCGCGTGGCACGGCATGGATATTGTTCACGCACCGTTCGATCAAATCCTTCAAAGCCACGACGGATGATTTATGACTTTCCGACATTCTCCTAGCAGCCGATTCGTCCCACGTTTCTAGAAATGATCAATTACGACGGTATTATTAGTCGTGCGAGTAATTCTACGGGTAAACAAGTGTACATGCTCGTATGATGAATTATCATATACGGTTCGGTATATCGTAGGCACACATGTTTTTTCGTAAAAACATTTCATCGAATATCATGTTTCCATTATATCCCAAATCCTTTGTTGAATACATCCCTAACGCCGAGAAGAAGCGTTTTTTTTTTATCGCGCTACACTATTCCGAACTACCGAGTTGGTAAGATTTAGTCAACATTCAACCGAGATGTGCGATCATAACGAACGTATTTCATAATTACATACATGTTAAATGCAACCACTTACCCGAAAACTAATCGTTCGATAATCTTTTCTCGTCAGTCGCTGCCGCTCGCTTCCGACTTTTTCTGTGCGCTATTGGAAATCACTTGATTTCGAACGTCAGATGCGTGTCGACAAGGTACTCGCACTACAATAAGAAATTGTGTGATATGATTAATGGTTTACGTCAAGTACGTTTTTTTGATATGAGTTCGTCCTTTCGGACTGAAGGTTATAATATAATTATCGTCTAGACCAGCGTTTCTTAAACTTTTTTATCCGTGGAACCCTTATTTTTTTATTTAGTTTTTTAGCTTTTTTAAGATTATTTGTAAATAAATTATAACCATATAATAATATTGTATTAAAAGTATTTAGTTCGAAAAATATATTAAAATAAAAATAAAAATAATAATAATTTTATACATATATATTATAATAATTTAGTAATAATTACTTTAATTTGACCAAATATAAATTTAGACCAGCGATTTTCAAACTTTTTTTCGAGTGCCACATGAGTATATTATCAATCAGTCACGTACCATTAATGATTAAAAATAGAACTATACAAACTTCACATAATTAAATGTATTTTAAATAAAAAGGCAGTAAAATACTAAAATATAATTATTATTTATTTATTATTACAAATTCATTAGTGTTTTTAAATTAATATACGAGATAAATATTGAATTTTTAATTTTCTTTCTACCACCATGCGGCCTTTCGCGTATCACAGTTTGAGAACCGCTGATTTAGAGTATTCCATATGGCTTATACATTGTTATTTAATATACAAAGATTTTTTTTCTAACATGTAAACAGTTTTTCACCATTACTAATCTTTAGTTGAAAATTTTAAAGTTATTTTCTTAAAAATGTTTAAAAAATTACTTAAGCTTCGCGGAACCCTGAAGTGATCTTTGTGGAACCCCAGGGTTCCGCGGAATACAGTTTAAGAAACGCTGGTCTAGACAAAGTCTATCTACACGTCTTACAGTGTATAATATTACGATAATATCTCGACAACGAACAAAAGAATAAATAATTGAGTCGCTGTTTCATTGACTTTGTATTTAGGTGAATTGGATTACGAATTTTTACATAACTAACATAATAATACTCCAGACCAAGGCTTTAAATATTTATTTCTGTATGTAAACTATTTATTTATATGTTTAATAAGTGATTGGTTTTTTTTTTTTTATATAAATATTAAAAATTTAATTAAAAAATATCTAACGATTACCATCGGCGGGGAGGAGTTTGATAACAAGAGTAAAATTACGAATACAACAAACGATTACGTCGAACGCGTGGTTCTTAAACGACGGGACAGAATTTATTTTACATTTTATACGTACCGTTTGCTCGGGTCGATGTGTTCAGACAAATCGAGTGAAGATGAAACACCAAAAGCAGTGTGCGGAACTACACGTACTGATGTCGGGAAGTCGTGTACTACCGCGCAGTTGAGTGCCGTCGTCCTAATATACTGTACGCGAATACGTTGCAAACCGCTACGGTGGAAGGGTTACAACAATGCTACAATAGTGCGAGGAAGTGGAGATCAAGGCGACGACGTCGAAGTGGGAGAGATGAATAATTACGCAACCCATCATGTTGCGTGTAAAGTTCTACCATTGGCTCACAGATAACAGTGAACTGTAACTGCAGCGGTCGGTCTTATGCGTTTCGACGTAAATGTGGGCGGGTGAACGCATTGAGTTTTGTGATTTACATCACTTGCTGTACAAGTCAAACACAATAGTTGAATAATCATATTCGAAGACTTTTTGACTTTAAGAAGGTTTACGATAGTAAAAATAATAATAATATTAGAATACAAAAACTCCTACGGGTCCTGTGCGATTATTCTCGCTCAGGCCTTTTCAGGCGCACGAGGTAAAACGGAATGGTATTTCTATTTAAAGCCGTTGAGATCAAAATTATACTAATTTTAGAGACGTAGCATGAAAATCGAAGACGAAATAATCATCTAGTTTTCGTATTATTATTTCCTCCGAGCGATATGATTCTCCAAAAATATACGGATGTAATCTTAATATTTTTTCCGAAAGTAAATACACTAGTGTAACAGTTGTACAGCCGTTTGAGTACACTAAATTGTATTGTTCATACGCGTCTTGTGTTATATTTCTCAGTCCTGCAATTTCGAAGAGATATGGTTTGAAACATTAAACAAAAACACGGTTATTCTAGACTAAGTAAGATATATTATCAATCAAATGGTTAAAAACCCTACAGGTACAAGTAATTAATCACTACGAACATACATAAAGTTAAGCACAAGTCAGTGTTACAATTTTTAAATATATAACATTATTATGTTAATTTAAATGCGCTATCTAATGATCTATACTGACTATTAACAAATTAATCGTTATTTATTAGTGAACAAAACTATATCAAACATGCACATCATTTTTCTCGTTTCTTTTGTAAATTCAATTCAGTAATTTAACAAAAATATCAAACAATGTTGAGGGTTTACAAAATAAAAGGATTATATTTTTGGTTTCATCATATAAAATAAATGTAGTCCGCTATAATCATTAATTTAGAAGTGTACAAGAAATAATTTTTCAAAAGAATTAGTACATTTGTTTTCAACAAAGTTGCTATTATACAGTTAAATGACAACCCGCATATAAATGTTCGGTTATAAAAATGTAGTTTTACAAATATTATCAAAGGAATCTATAAATACAAAAATTAATGGAGAGTGGTGTTATAAAGCGTTGTAATCTCATCACATGTAATTCATATCAATAAGTACATATGAAAAATGAACACATTAACTATAAGACTATATTGTTGTATATTTATAATATATGTGTTTACCATATCATTAATTTAAACAAAAAACACACAAATAATCTTATATTAATAAATTGATTAAAATATTAATTATACGTAAAATCAAATCACAATAACTCAAAACCATTGATACCTTATTTTTAATTGTGTAATAGGATATTTTTTTATGCTAACCAAACATGAATAGTGTTTGTACTAACTTCCGTTATGGAACTAATACCTAAATAAGAGGACGCGTTATCCAAGTGTAACCCAAAGTGTGCCCCGGCCTTAAAGCTTCAGGCGGAACCGTATTTGACCAGTACACTATTTTAGTGACAAATTGAAAGTATCCATCACGTTTTTTTTTTGTTAAACTACCAATTTATATAATAACCATGTAATATTATTAATTGAAGATATTTTATACACCTAGTTAGTAGTTATTAATTTTAACGATCGTCAAAGTATATTATATTAAATATAATATATATTGGATTCCACATAATATAAACAATAACCACTTTTAATAAAGAGGAGCAATTAGTGGAACAGACTTTCTAGCATGTGTAAACATGTGTGAACTGATAATATAATGTTACTTTATATTTTTTAATTAACTTAATGTGATTTCACGATAAATTGAAAATAATTATATTACATGATTATTATATAAATTAGTAGTCGGACAGAAAAAAAATTGAGGAATATTTTAAATTGATGACTAAAACGGTGCACTGGCCGAATAGGAAAAGGTTCGTAATTTTGGTCGTAAGTGTTCCACCCAACGCTTCATAAATCGAACACAATACAGGCACATACACTCGTGATCGTGAATCTAGAAATAAAATGAACATTTCTTCACGGATTTTTGACTATAAATCCATATTGCGCGAGACAAAACCGTTGAGTGAAAATTCATAGAAAAGGCTCCATTTTCGCTCCAGAGAAAATAATGTTATCTATTATGTAGCGTTTTTATTTGTTCGATAACTATTTTTATAGCTTTTGATAGCTTAACAATAAATCAAACGTTTTGCAAATGTTGCCGTGTAAAAGACTTTGAGTCCGTTCTTATTAGCGGAAAAATAAAAATGAAAATGAACTGACACCGAATGGCTTTGTCCCGCGGCGAAACGTACTTTTATGCTTAAAAACTACTGGTGTGTCACGCCGTCTCGTCAAGTTCTTACGTTCAAAAGTTGCACAATTCGTTGTTAATTGTTGAAAAACACGTGACGTAAATAATTGATCATCGGCGCGAGCGGAATCGAAATCGGGGAACAAACGATCGGTGCACAAAACTAAACACACATCTACGTGTAAGCGTCGGGGACGAAAACAATGAAAAACACACAAAAACGGGAACATTTGCGGACGCGCGTCTATTTTTAGTCGTCGGAATCGTCGCTGGAAGACACCTGAAAGTTCTGGGACTGGGCCGGAGTCGTGTCGCAGGCGTCCTCCGTGTGCACAATGGTGTTGTGCGGCAAGTGGCACTTGGAGCAGCGACTCGACGACGGGCAATTGTCGACCAGGTGGTCATTCTTCAAGCAGTTGATGCAGATGGACAGCCTGCGGAAGGCGCGCAATCTGTCATCGGGCCTCATCCGGACCAGGTACGGACACCTGTAGATCGGATGCATTTCGTGGCACATGTAGCATTTGATTCCCAAGCACCTGGGTATCGCCCGGGCGACCCGAGCCGATCTCGAAGACGACGGCCCTGCTCGCCCCATCTCCCACGACGGCCCCGCTCTCGGCATCTCCCACGACGGCCCCGCTCGTGACGTCCCTAGCGACCACGTATCCCCTCGCACCATCCCCCACGTCGGCCCCGCTCGCGGCCTCCCCGACGGCCACGTATCCGCTCGCGGCATCCCCGAAGCCGTCGCCGCCGCGTACGCTTCCCCGTTCACCAGCGGTGCAGTTCCCGCGAGGGTCGCAGCCATTCGCATTATAGCTAGGGCCGCTGCCCTCTCCGCTCGCGCTATCCCCGTGGCCATCGCGCCCGCAGCGTACGCTTCCCCGTTCACCACCGGCGGTGCAGTTCCCGCGACCGTCGCGGCCGTCCTCATCGTCGCCAGCGTCGCTGCCGTCTCCGCTCGCGCTTCCGCCGACGCATCCGCCGACACATCCGCCGCGTACGCTTCCCCGTTCACCACCGGCGAAGCCGTTCCCGCAGGCGTTGCGGGCGTCACCCCCGCCTCTTCCGCCGTAGCAACGGTCTCTTCCACTGTTGCCATTTCCGTTGTTTCTTCCACAGCCTCTGTTTCCGTCATGTCATCTGTTGACCGACTCTCCGTAGCCATATTCCGTTCACTGACGTACAACGTTCACGCGCGACAAAATACGTCTGGAACAGCATTGTTGGAAAACCACATCGTTATTTATATACATCGTTTACCATCACCGGTCACGTTTACGTTCAAGTAGACGGTGCAAATAAAATACAAATAATATACGTTATTCGTGTGTCGAGAATACGCTGCAAGCCCAAAAGATCGATTATTCCGATCGCGCACGTGTTTAGAAAAAATATTAAAATACCGTTCTAATCTATAGACTCCGATTCGTGATCAAAGAGGTTAAACCGTAATCGAATATTTGATCGAAATATTATCGAAACCACGTTTGCAACACTCGCGTATTCGGCGCAACGGCGTCGCTCTTGACATTCGACGTAGTGTTACAGTATTCACCTATACTAGGGTGACCATATGTAAAAAAAAAAAACCCGGACACTTTTTTTGCAATGGGTAAAAAAAAATTATTGGTTATCGTCATAAAAAGAAACTTATATAAATTATTCATATTTTTATTTATTTATTTTTTTTTTTTTTTTTGAAATCAAAAAGATTACTGGGCCTCACTGAGAAAACTCGTGTGGAGGCCCCGGGTTATCAATTTACAATATTCTAAATTCAATATTACATATCTAAAATATAGCATGAGAGATATAAGACAGAATAAAATACAAATATAATAATATTACATATATGATATTAAATTATAAAATAGAAATTGAATGGTTAAAATATTTTAAATTTTACTCGCATTATATTCATATTGGAGCCAATGGGTAATGTGTTTTTTAAAAGCAGGTAAAAGCATATTAGCTATATGGATAGGCATTAAATTATATATTTGAGTTCCGAAGAAATGGTATACTTTACGGCATCCGGTTTTTTTTAGCCAATCTAAAGAAAAGTTAATAGCTGCGTGTCTAGTATTAACTTCATGATTAATAGGAGATAATTGGTTATGCTTTTTTAAATATATAGTAATAATTTTGATGTATAAATTGTTTATATTAAGAACTTTAAAATCTTCATACAGTTTTTTTTGTTGGATATCTCCAATCTTTTTTAGTCGCAACTCTAATAATTGAGTTTTGGCATTTTTGAAGCTGCGTTAGAACATTATCATATGCCCCTCCCCATCCTATTATACCGTATGTGATTATTGATTCAAATAGAGTTAAATATATATTTCTAATTTCCTTCGAAGGTAATAACTCACGTAATTGTTTAATTATGTAATCATTTTTCTTAATTTGTTAGATATATAATCGATTTGTTTTTTCCATTTCATGTCGAAACACATTTCTATACCTAAATATTTATAGTTT